AATATTTTAAAAGGTTTTAAACGATTTTGAATTTAAAAAACAATATCCCCTAAATACTAAATATGACAATTTTCTTTTCTTTAACAATTTCCTCTACACTAAATGCAAACTAATGTTGTGTGTGTGTGTTTTTTAGTTTTGTTTTATATTTGAATCAATTTTTTTTTAGTTTAGCTTAAATTATACAAAATAAAAAAATTTTAATAAAAAACCAAAACGCTTTTTTCCTAATTTAAAAAAAAAGAAACGAAAATATTAAAAAATAACTATAATATATGCTTAGTAAAAAAATAAAAAGCTATGAGAAAGCTTTAAAAATTAAATTAAAATTAATGTATTTATTATTTATTTTCTATTAATGTAATTAATATTTACAAAACTATGATAATAATAATGCAACAACAACTACTACTACAACACATTTTATATATAACAAACTAATACTAAAGACAAGCAACATTTCCCATTATCATCATCATGATCATGTATACTATTATAAAACTTAGTTTTAATAAAAAAAAATTGCATAAAAAATAAAAAAAGAAAAATAAAAAAACAAAACAATTCATAATAAAAATGAAGAAAAACATATTTATTAAATATAAAATAATGGAGTGGATTTTATTGTTTTTATTAAATGACAAATGCCTTGGCGCAATTGGAACACTTTTTGGAAGCCAAGTACATTAAAGCGAGACTGAAGAAAGACAGGCGAACATTTGTATCGTATAATTTCGTCCGATCCAAGAGAACATTCAAAAGCAGAAAGAGAAGCAATATTGGAAACGCCTACTCCATGGCCATGCTATCGAGACCATTGAAGGTGGATGCTGATGATCTTCCCATTGAAACAATGGATGATTCATCAGAGAAATCCAACGTCAAGTGTGTCAATGCCAAGGATTTACCAAAGAGAGATAATCTTCTGCAACCGGTTCATACAGTGGGACAGTAATATTATAATTCAAAAATGTATCCCCTCAAATCAGAGTTCAGTTCAGAGTAGCCAATGTACGATTGGGAATCTCTAATCAATCAGAATCATCAAAGGGGGTCCTGAATGACGAGCGATCCTTGGCAACTTCTAGCAGTCCAAAGTAGCAGTATTTTGGTGCATAGAACCAAAAAAACCTAAAATGGGATTGAACCAGTCTATTTAATAAATCGGGACTTGGGTACAACATATTCCGCCAGGAAGTTTTGTATTCTCTTAGTAAACAAAATACCAAATTCAACGTCAAGAAGCAACATTGTCGAGTTTAGAACTAGGAAAAGAAATAAATAACGGTTGAAAATCTTCTCCATTCTCAGAGTGTGTCTGTTTAGTGAGGTTTATGGTCCGAAGCAAGATCTATTAATAAGGTCATCCAGCTAGCGAAAGTCAACTTCTAGCAGTCCAAAACAAGGTATTATGGTAGATAGAACCAAAATAACTAAAATGGGATTGGACCGGTCTATTTAAAACAAAAAAATCGGGACTTGGGCACAATATATTCCGCCAGGTAGTTTTGTATTCTCTGAGTAAACATAATACCAAATTCAACGTCAAGATGCAACATTGTCGAGTTTAGAACTAGGAAAAACATAAATAACGCTTGAAAATCCCCTCCATTCTCAGAGTGTGTCTATTTAGTGAGGTTTATGGTCCGAAGCAAGATCTATTAATAAGGTCATCCAGCTAGCGAAAGTCAGCTGTTTTCTCTCAAGTCTAATATAAACCAGTGAGCGGAACAGTATAGTCGAACGGGGCCGACCATACGATACCCGACACAACTATCATGGAACTCTAACTTTCTGCGAAGTTTTATTCCGAGCCTGAACAATAGTTCGTTAGAGTTGCACCCTCATTCCCGATAAGAGGCCAACAGCACCTCTTCCTTACACTGACATATTTTCCGAATATTTCTAATATTCAGTACAGTCCTTCTAACTACTTGTCTATATTCCCTTCACCGTGGGTTGTGTTGTAATGTCCGGCTTATAATTGTGGCCTATAGATCGACTACAAAAAAAAAAATATGTTTTTGGTCCACTTCATCCGAAAATTATTATCTGATCATCGTCGAAAATTATAGGCGTTGTCCTTGACCATGACCTCATGAAAAATTTCAAAGCGCTCAGTGTGGTAATGGGTTACTAAATAATATATGAGTACGTAAGCACCTGTAAATATTTAAGTGTAACTTCCACATCAATTACTATCAATTTCTTGGGTCTATGTCCTTCAGGAGTAAATATATACGCCATAGAATACAAATTTTGTCATTTTTCACACAAAAGTATGGGTCCATTTGACCCGCTAAATGTTGACCGATCTTTATCAGAACAGACATGCTTATTCTTTGGCCCGATCCCCCTCTCCATGCGATGTTTGGCCTCTGGTGGCTATTCAAGACCTTAAATATATAGTTCGTAAGGCTATACAGGCCACAGGGTACCCACTTTGCGATTTGGTGATCACAATTGGTCATCAATATCGTGATAATTAACACCTAACAACTCCTACCTTTTGGAGCCTTGTGAAAGATAAAGTCAACGTCAACTGACTAGCGACGATACAAAACCGTAAATATACAGCGCGTGAGGCTATGCAGGACACAGGGAACCTACTTTGCGATTTGCCTATGGTATAATATGATACCTTAAACGGCATTTACATTAGAACTTTTTACCGCGTTAAACTACTTCATGGGGATTTGTTAGCCATATATACAATGGAATTGACAATTTTAACCCACTTACTTACTTACTTAGCCGGCTTGTTGTTCAATAAACCGAACTTAAAAAAGATTTCCAAGCGTTTCGGTCTTGTAGACATCTCATCCATCGGATCCCTTAAAGATTATGTTCCGAAATGTTGTCTTCTACTCGATCTTTTAATCGGATTCGTGGTGTTCCCCTTCTGCATGAACCATCACTTTGACTCGTTTTTGTATGTCTTTTGAGCAGGGGGCATCTTCATCCATTCTCACAATATATCCTAGTCAACGTAGTCGCTGCAGCTCGATACGTCTGACTATGTCGATGTCCGAGAATATATGGTATCGTTCATGGTTCATTCGACGACGATATTCACCTCACCGTCGATGCAGATCGGCAATTTAAACCCACTGGATTAACGAAATCCGATAAACGTTCCATAACCTTCTTAATTTTTCCTCGCACCCCAATGTCATCAACCAGAATGCGAACGCTAGGAAATAATGTCCCCAACCTTCTGGCATGCACCTCCCGTGGGGAAGGAAACCATTATCTTGTGTATAAGGGCATGAATTAATGTCCCAAACCAACATCCTCCTGCAATTTCGAACAGTGAGAAGCTTCACTTTTAATTTTTTACCAATATTTTCAGAAAAGGGAACAAATCTAGTTTAGGGGCTCCACTCGGATCGCTTTGATATTTTTACCGTAAGTAGTCCTCGTTGAGCTGATTACAGTGATATATATTTTATGTGGGGGAAATGCATACTTCCCGAGATATGGGCCTTGAAAGTTCGGAGCATATCATGATTGAAATGGGCCGTTTTACTAATGCCACAAAGGCAATATGGGTATTATTTTAAAGCTTATAACGAGTACTTTCCCAAAAAAAACATAAACATAGCATGCCGAACATTTCTCGTGTTTCCAATTAAAGTAACCGGCAGCAGGCGCATACATGGCTACGCAATCCAAATCCTTTTTTAAGAGTAATTTAAAATAAAATTTAGAGTTTTTTGAGTAGCCGGCATTCGGCCGGGGCTTAAAACTTTCACCTATGAACAGGTGGATACATGGATACGCAATCCAAATCCTTTTTTAAGAGCAGTTTTAGAATCAAATTTAGGGTTTTTTGAGTAGCAGGCCTTCGGCCGGGGCTTAAGACTTTCACCTACGGACAGGCGCATACATGGCTACGCAATCCAAATCCTTTTGTAAGAGCAATTTCAGAATCAAATTTAGGATTTTTTAAGTAGCCGGCCTTCGGCCGGGGCTTAAGACTTTCGCCTATGGACAGGCACATACATGACTACGCAATCCAAATCCTTTTTTAAAACCAATTTCAGAATCAAAATTATGGTTTTAAAGTAGCCGGCCTTCGGCCGGTGCTTTAGATTTTGGCCTATGGACAAGCGCATACATGCCGACGAATCCAAATATTTTTATATTTTTTGGGAAAGTACTCGTTATACGCTTTAAAATGATACCCATATTGCCTTTGTGGCATTAGTATAACGACCGTTTTTAATCAAGATATGCCCCGAACTTTCAAGCCCCATATCTCGGGAAGTATCCATTTCCCACACATAAAATATATATCACTGTAATCAGCTCAACGAGGACTACTTACGGTAAAAATTCGACTACAGTTAATCTGTTACAACAAAAACTATTAATGAAAATAAAATTTCTAGTTCAATTTTAAATGGTTCTACCAGATTTTGAATAGAGCAATTGTCTTCCTTTAGAAAAAAACCTCGTAAACCTTCCATAACATCATAACCTCAAAGTCGAATCGAAACACTCTATTAGCATAACAAAATAACGGGTATTCATTGCTGAGTAACCACAACACTCATTTGTTTTTGTTTGTGATTGCCTATGCTTGTGTTGTTGAATTTGTTGTTGCTTTCTCAAACTTTCACTTGTTTGGGGCTGTCGGTCGGTCGGCCTCTCACACAATTGCTGTTCGGTTTGTACGGCTGCAGAGGAAATGTGAGTTTGATTAGCAACTTCTTTAATAAACGAAAAAAAAAAATCAAAGCGTACTTGAAGACAACAAAACAAAATACGCTATGCTATGGAGAAGAAAATAGTTCAGTTACTAGTAGCACGATAACAACACGTAGACAAGTTGCGCGATCACGGAACGAACGGCATTGCAGTACATTGCGACGGCACATTCATTGTTTGTACATAGACGGTAGGCATTTCAAGCATCAGCAAATTTTCTTCATTTGAATCAACATCACCACCCCCACCACCTCCCACCAGCAACATTCCAACACACAGCGTACGAAATGTCTTTAAGGCAGCGCACAACTAATGGCAACAACAATAATAACAATGTGGATGCAGCATCCACGGACAACACCCACGATTCCAATAAGAAAAATGGGGACCAGCAACAGGAACGCACGAATCCCATGGTGTATATAGTATTCATATCCCTTCTATTTGATTTGTTGGCATTTACCATCATCTTACCGTTGCTGCCATCGCTCTTGGAATATTTTAAAAATAATGACAGTTCCGGTTTATATGCAGTGCTAACGGATCGCATCAAATGGTTTCAAGAACTACTGGGGGCACCCGAACGTTACAACTCGGTATTGTTTGGTGGCCTATTGGGCTCGATGTTTAGTTTTTGCAGTTTTGTGGCCAGTCCCATTGTGGGTGGACTGTCGGATTATTATGGTCGTAAACCGGTTATTATACTGTGTGCGGTAAGTAAAATTTTGATTTTTTTTTTATTATTTATGATCATATTTGTATTTATTCCTTTCTCTTTCTTGTTTGTTTCTTTGATTTTAATAATTGTAGGCCGGCATCGCTTTATCATATTTGCTATGGGCCTTTTCTCGTAACTTTGCTGTCTTTGTTTTGGCCCGTTTTGTTGGCGGCTTAAGTAAGGGCAACATCTCGTTGAGCATGTCTATTATTACGGATGTCTCCAGTGGCAAGACTCGAGGTCGTGGTATGGCTTTGGTGGGAGTGGCATTTTCATTGGGCTTCATTGTTGGTCCCATGATTGGTGCCTTATTTGCCATCTTCTCAAATAAATCTACGGGTCCATGGTTTGTTTTACCTTCTCTGCTGGCGTTGGCATTGGCTTTGGGTGATTTGCTGATTTTGGTCTTTTGTTTAAAGGAAACTTTACCAAAGGTAAGTGGAGACTTATAAATAGTTAACTTTTCAAAATAATGGGTTCCAAAACTCGAAGAATGTTTAAATAAAGATTCCCAGTCTTCATAAACGAATTGATGAAGGAGTCCTTTTAGCTCGTCTATAGAGGTGAAGGGAGTCTTTATAGACTTCCTGAAAGGAGTTTTTTAAGACGTACGGAAGGTAGTCTTTGTAGACGAGCGGAAGGTATATATAGACGAGCGAAAAGTGAGTCTTTATAGACGAGCGAAAGGCAGTCTTTATAGATGAGCGAATAAGAGTCTTGAAAATAGAGCGGAGGGGAGTCTTTATAAACGAGCGGAGGGGAGTCTTTATAGACGAGCGGAAAGCAGTCTTTGTAGACGAGCGGAAGGGAGTATTTGTCTTTATAGATGAGCGAAAAGGAGTCTTGAAATAGTCTTTATAGACGAGCGGAAGGGAGTCTTAAGAAGGGAGTCTTTATAGACGAGGTGAAGAGAATTTTTCATAGAGGAACTGAAGGAAGTTTTATAGACGAGCTGATGGGAGGTCTATAGACATATTCAAGGGAGTATTTAGAACTGAAAGTAGTCTTTAGCGTCGAGCTAGGGACTTCATAGACGAGTGGAAGAGAGTCTCTATAGACCATCAGAAGGTCAGGGAATCTATATAAATTAATTGAAGGACAGTTAGTCTTTAAAAGGTCACCTTTTGGCTATCTGAAGAAGTGTTAATAGACGAGTTAAAGGTTATCTTTTTAGCCGATCTGATAGCACAAGTAAAGATATGCGAGTTAAATCGGGTCTTTTTAAGATGTTCTTGTAATTTTTGAAACGGCCTTTCTAAGTAATCACGGCCTATTTAAAAAATTCACAAGTTTCCAAGGTATCAAGAGCAGTATGAAGAGCATTAGGGAGCTTTCTATGTACTTTGAAACTATTTGGGGACATTAACTAATTTTTCAGACAATTTTTTAAGTCACCTTTTTAGGAAAATATAATCTAAAGACTATAGATTATTATTTTAATTATTGTAGCGGCTTTCGTCTTACAAAGTATACTGTAAGACGAAAGCCGCTACAATAATTAAAAAAAAAACAGTCTAAGCATAGGTTACTCATAACTGGAATATAAAATGTGTGCGCACATAACCTCTAAAAAATATTTTTTTTTTAATAAATCTGTGAATAGAAATATTTGGTCAGTTTTCTGGTTATAGAAGACCTGTCGGAGACTCTCTAAATATTAGAAAAAATTAAAACTGAACTATTAAAACTGAAAGAGAAATTTTTGGAAACATAACCTCAATTTTACTAGAATATAAAAATCACTGTGTTAAGGGGGTAAATATATGTATAAGCGATTTTCTTAATATAGAAGGCAACTTGGGGACATTCTCTAAGCAGAGGTGATTAATTAAAACTGAAACATAAATCTTGTGAACATACACTCCAAAAAAATATTTTTTTTATAAATTTATTAAAACAGTTATTTCAGCTGTTTGCTGGTTATAGAAGACCGAAATCTCCTTTTTTTAGTTGATCCAATTAAATAATCTATTTTATTTTATTTTTTTATTCAGGAAAAACGGGTCAAGGAAATTTCCTCATCCATGTCTTATGCTTTCCAATTGATCAATGTTTCCTCTATATTTAGGTGAGTATCATAGACATACATTAATCATGAATCATTTTAATTTAAAATTATCAATAATGCCAGGTGTGTATCACATTCTCAAATGGATTTTTGACTATCTCTGCCTTGCCACCTGTTATCTTGCGAACCTACTTTTAAAGCAGCAACAATATTCAATTTGAACTTTTGCCTTAATGTTGTTGATTTCATTAAATTTATCTTTATTTAAATTATTGATTACGAAAAAAATCCATGATAGGCCACAAAGAAAAATAAAATGGAATTTCTTTAAAGTTCCGGTTATGTTTATTATATGAGTCGCTACTTTTTTAATAATTTTTTACTTTGCCACCAAATATTTGTATTGCTTATTTGCCTCTTTTTAATTTTATTAAGCTAATAATCTAATTGATTTTTTTTAATTTGTCAATCATTTTAAAGACAAATTGATTTATAACTTAGCCATTCCGTTGTATGTCAATTTTTTTTCTTTGCTTGAAACAAATATGACAAGCATTTTTTAATTATGAGTAGATTGCAACTACTTCTATTAGCCGGTGATGAGCTTCATAGCATATCATATAAATAACTTTATACTGGCATAATAAAACACACGAAGCGTAACGATATTGATTGTAATTTAATGCCACAATTGAATTTATTATTTTCCATTCCACTTAATTTTTCGTTTTTCGTTTCTTCTTTCTTTACAGATTTGCGTCCATCAAAAATGTCCCACAAAAACAAATCAAGTCATTGCAAACCATTGGTATTATTTATTTTGTCTATTTATTCCTGTATTCGGCATTGGAATTTACAGTTACATTTTTAATGTATCATAAATTTGGTTATACCTCCATGGATCAGGCGAAAATGTTTTTGACCACGGGTAAAACCAAAAATACAAATAAATTCAAAATTTGAAAACACCTTTAAATTGAAATTCCATTAATTTCCAGGTATCATCATGACCATTTTGCAAGGATCTGTTGTTAGACGTCTACCCGAAAAGGATATTAAAAATTATGCAGTATTGAGTTTATATTTGCTAATACCTGCCTTTGCCATTGTTGGCATTGCCAATGGAACATGTCTGCTATATATTGGCATGATCTTGTATGCCATATGTAAGTACCCTTATTCATTATACAATAAATGTTTCCCCATAAAATATTATTTTTTTCTTCCCCCCTCTTAGCCACTGCCTTTACTGTCACCTGTCTCACTACGCTCGTCTCCAAATATGGCAATGATGATCAGAAAGGTTCCGTTTTGGGTATCTTCCGTTCATTGGGCGCCTTGGCTCGTGCCCTGGGGCCCGTTGTTGGCTGCATAGCATTTTGGTGTATTGGCTCTCGTATGACATATGTCGTTGGTGGCTTTTTGCTACTAATACCCTCATATGTTTTGCAAAAAACTCAACTGGCATAAATATTAAATTTGAATTTGCATAATGCATTCGTATTGCTTCCAGGTTGTAAACATGAAACAATTTTCTGTATTATATACAAACACACATACACACAATATTTAAATGTATTACTTAGTACTTATAATATATACATATTTATATAACCATTCAATGCCTTTTTTTATATATATACTCATATGCAGTTTTTTATGTATAGAAATTATTTTTTATATAAATAAATATATTTATTAAAACAATTCTGATTTTTTTATTTATTTTTTTTTAAATAAAATTAATCAAATATTTAAAAAGCAGGATTTTCCGAATGTTATCCCTCAATAGAGTATATAAAAGCCTATCTACAGAATATATAAACTAATTATATTTAAAAAGTTGACTTTTTTGGTAAAATCCTCCGTACGAGGGCAGTTCGGAATGTTCTTAGCCTAGCACAAAAAGCGCAGTATAAACTGAAAAAAGTTAAGTGTTTTGGAAACTGTCGTCACTGTTCTGAACTAATTTTAAATTTTGTCTCGATCTGGCAACTCCTGTATATAGAAACAGGTGCTCAAAAAAGACACATCCGCAATATTTTACAATGGAAAAATTAGAAATGCGTGTTTTCATTGTAAAAAAAATTGTGGATGCGTCTTTTTTGAACATTTTCTATATCGTTAGTTAAAATGCAAAAACAAAAAATTGAAAATTGACTTTTTGAATGAATATTGTGAATGTCAATAAACTACATGTGTTGACATTCAAAAAGTCAATTTTTTGTTAGTTACGCCTTTTTGCATTTTAGCTAACGATATGAAGGAGTTGCCAGATCGAAACAAAATTTAAAATTAAAATTAGTTCATAACAGAGATGGAAGTTTCCAAAACTCTTAACTTTTTTGCTTTTTGTGCTAGGCTAAGAACTTTACGAACTGCCCTCGTAATTAGGAATGGATCTTTCATTAACAAAACTCATAGATATATTTCTGATTATTACAGATCTCTAAAATTCGTAATAAATAATAGAAACATAAGGGGGTATCTCCACATCAACATGATTAGTATTAAAAATTCCCCAAAAAAAATGGTGGGTTTAAATACTTTATGAGGATTTATTTCACCTATATGCTATGGAATTGACAACTTACACCCACTGGATTAACGAAATTCATTAGAATTTAAACGTACTGTAATAATGTGTACATAACCTCAATTTATAAAATAAATAATATACTCTGCAGCATGAGACATCCATAGTTTGGTTTGAAACGAGATTGACACTCGAACCTTGTTCTACGATATAGGTCCCATTAACGTTAACAGCTTTGTCAAAAAACTGCCGCACATAACCTCAAACCCAACCAGTTCTTAACCTTGTCTCTACCTAATCTTTTTTTTGTTCTCTTTTCAAGTCAATTGGGCTTCGAGGAAAGCGACCTTAGGGGTTATAAAGTTTTGTCCTGGGTGATTAAGGACATATAAAAATAATCCATTATTCCAACGAAAAGTCATTTTGATTGATGTGACCACATTTCCACCACCTCAGCGGGTAAAAAGTAAAATTGCCGCATCTGATGATCGGAAAACCTTCAAAGTGTGGTGTTTGGTGCGGTTTATGCTCCGACGGCACCTTATTTTTTCGAAAATGAACTGTGCGATGATTAATAGTTTTTATGGTCGGAGTAGGATGGTATTAGTATTTTTTATGATCGGAGTAGGATGGTATTAGTATGGAAAAAGTTGGAATTTTTAACAAGGTGACTCTACGTTATATACAAGCAACGAAACCATTGCTATTTTTTTTTAGGGGAAAGGTATTAAGGTATTAAATATAGAATTCGGAAACTATCAAGGGCAACCACTACTTCAGTTTGTCTAATGCTGTCTATTAAAAACTCCGGTATTCTATAATTAATGTCTTTTTTATAATGTTCCTCTATAAAGACTCGCTTTAGTTCGTCTATAAATACTCCCCTCAGCTCGTCTATATCGACTCCATTGATCTCTGCTTTAATCTTTAAACTCCCTTCATATTGCCTGTAAAAACTTCCAGATCTATAAAGATTTGAAGAGAATCTTTATAGACGGGCTGCTATAAAGATTCTCTTCAACTCTTCTATATTGACCTTCTGCTCGTCGTTAAAAACTCAGAGACATTCAAATCATCTTCTATAAAGATACCCTTTCAGAAAAAAACTCCCTGCTACAGCTCATCTATAAAGACTTCCTTCAGCTCGTCTATAAAAACTCACTTCAGGTCGCTTATAAAGAATCCCCTGCCTCCATTCAGAGACTCCCTTCGTCTATAAAGAATCCCCTTTTCAGCTCGTCAATAAGGTCTACATTCAGGTCTTCCGCTGATATTTCCCTCATCTCTCTATTAAGGTAGCCCGGTAGCTCGGCTATAAAAACTCACTTAGAATTATTAAAAAATAAATCCCTTATTACTTTTTATATAAACATAACCTTTAACCCATATTTAAACCCTCGCTTAATTTTCAATATTATATAAATTTTATTATAAAAAAGTTATTATTATTTTTTTTTATAAAAAATAATTCACATATATTTTTTTTAATTTTCAACGGTTACCCATAACCGCTCAACCAGCATTTCCATCTCTGCCACCAGAATACCAACTAAACTACAATAATTTCCAACTCTGAGTTGGTGTGACACAGCAATGCAACACTGTGATGACAGCAACGACCAAATACGACAACGACGAGACGAGAACTTGTACAGCAGAGAAACGAATTTTTCTGGTGGTCGTCGCGAAAAAGTCAAGTCGCAAAAACTTTAAAGGCAAAGAAAGAAAAAAAGGTGATTAATTCATCAATTCACGTAGGAATACATTCAAGTTTTTCAATTAAAAGAGAAAAAGAAATCGAATTAACCAATAAGAATAAAAAACGAAAATTGTTGCGTACATTATTTGTTGGAATTGTTGCTGAAGAAAGAAAGAAAAAAAGTGTTCTCTTAGTTGTGTAAATGTAACAAGAAAATAAAGAAAAAAAACGGGATAAAAAGAAGCGAAAAACAAAGAAAATACAATTTTTAGTTTCATATTTTTTGTATTATTTTTTGGATTTGCAAAAGAAGAAAGTAGAGTGTGTGAGATTGTTGCAAACAAAGAAGAAATGGAAAAAAAGTAACCGCCCCGTATTCTTGTTCAACTTTTTTTTTGTCGATTCTCGTTCACACCGTGTGTGTGTGCGGTTTGGTTTTTTTAATAACAACAAAAAAATTAACGTAGCAATTTTTTCTCCCTTCTTTCTTTTTTTGTTCTTCAATTCTTTGACGGAATTTTTTTGGTACAATTTGTCTGTGCGGTTGTGGCGATGACGTTGTGATGGTGGTCGGTCGTTAATGTTTAATCATTGACTTCATCATCACTGCTTGCTCTCGTCTGTCATTGATGACAATTGTTATTGTACGCTGTTCATTTTTTTTGTTTAATTATAATATAAATTATTATTAAATATATATTTTTATTAATTCGGGGCTGCTGCTGCACTTGTAATTAAAACTAACTACGCAAAATACCAAAATTCCCAACAACAACAAAAAACGACGACAACCAACGAATCTACAATAATATAACAAACAACAACAACATCATCAACGACGGCGACGACGTCGTACTATATTGCTGCTTCTCTTGTTTGTGCCTGATTCCCTTTGTTGTGCTCGTCTTTTTGTACTGCTGCTGCTGGTTGCCTGCCTGACTGTGCTTGCTGGTACTACAACTGCCGCTGCTGCTGGTACTTTGTAATGGTGTTGGTTGGTGTGTGAGTTGTGATTTGGATTTTCTGGTTTTTTTAAATATTTTTTTTGCGTTCACATCAACAACGAATTGAAACTGCATTGCATTTTCTCGTGTAATATTTCCTCTTTTGTGCTACAAAAGAAGAATAATCAATCCAGAAAGGGGCGAGATAAACAAATAGTAAAAGAGAGAAAAACATAAGGATTTTTTATATAAAATACAGAATTTAAACGAAGATTAAACTTTAAGAAATCTTCGAAAACCAAAACAGAAAGTAAAACAAAAAGAAACACCGACAACAAGAACACACAACAAAATGGGCACAAGGGAAGATGAGTACGATTATTTATTTAAAGGTAAATATAATTCATTATTTTTTCTTCTATTATTTGTATAAAAAAGAAGAAACATACAAAGTTTTCGTTAGTGAAAATGTGACTTATCTATTGTTGCTTCTTCTTCCTCCTATATATTTTTTTTTTCGTTCATATTTAATCATCATTACTCATATTTTCTCTTTTCGTGTTTGTTCATTGAATTTCTAATGCAAAAAAGGTGAAAAAAAGCATTCCAGCAAATGGGTATTGACGTACGGCTGGCTATCAGTACGTAGTGTTGCCACATGGATTTGTTTATGTTTTGGGGGGAAACCATTTGAAATATGGGTATAAAGCAAAAACAACGGCCTTCTGCTCGGACTTTAAGACATTTGCCAAATTTTGGCTATTTAATTTCAATTTTTGATACCATTTCCGTAGAAACGGGAAACCGGGTACTACGCCCAAGAAAAAAAATATACCCCATAATTAGGGTAAAAATAGCTACCTCTGAAAAACTAAAAAAAAAATCAGATCGTTTTTACTAAAGTCAATACATCCTGAATTCCTAAAGTTCCGCTGAATCTCTTGTATTTTCCCCATCAGTCTAAGACAATATGGGTATTTGAAGTTGACGAAGTCCTGATGTAATTATTTTGTTGGTGAAGACTGAAGAGAATTTTAATAGACAAAGGGCAAAGACTGAATTTTTCATAGATAGGAGTTTTTCTAGGATAGAGCTTTCATATGGTAGACTTAATATACAGCAGGTTGAAGAAAAATGTGCACATTTTGTTGATAGATGTGCAGAAAAAAAACTTTTTTGAAAGAACAAGAAGCAGGGCGTTTTTATAGACAAGGGAATTGGCACGAAATCAAGAAGTCGCAAGGTGTGAAATTACAAGTGTGAAATTACAAAAGACCAAGCTGATTGGTGGCCCAAAATTTTCTGTAAAAGAGCAATGATCCTCACGTACAGTGCCTAACTCTTTTCTGTAACAGATCAATGACCTCACGTAACTCTCAACCAAGGCGAGAGTATAGTAAACCCCCTGTATAGTATCAATACATGGTCCAAACATATGATTGATGACAGGAATTGTGCAAGCGTCATCATCGGCGACTCAAGTGGAAGCTGTTCTGACTAAGATTCAATTTGTCCTCAACACTGGTAGCCGTGAAGAGGATATGATCGACGGAGGAACAGCAATCGAAAACGAATATATATATATATTTTCTTAACAAAAACAGCTCATTCTGTGGGCTCGCATGTTTCGGTAGTAACCAGAAACGACAGTCGGTCCTATTGAGAAGTCTTCAAAAGCGGTTTCAGTAGAGGTCAAGAAAGGAAATGGGAAGACGACTACCACGGAAAAGAGGAAGAGCGGACCTTATGGAAAGTCCTCATAGAAACCTTCGTGGCCCTCGACGACTTAAGCAATAAGTCGACGAATGATACCAAATGACCAGAGAGTATCCATTATACGAAAAAGACGAAATTTTGACCTATTGAGATGTCTTCGCCAGAACCTCCAGGTTGTCCTCCAAAGGCGTTTTCAGTAGAGGACAAGAAAGGAATTGGGAAGGAGGCTGGCTGTCACGGAAATACGAAATATCGATATAGTTAAAGTCTTCCCAAAAACCTTAGTAGCAATCGACGACAGGTCGACTGATCATCATTACGAGAAAGACGTTAGTCGGACCTATTGGGAAGTCTTCACAGTAACTTCCAGGTTCTGCTCCAAAGGCTGTTTCAGTTGAGGCCAAGTAAAGAAAATATATGGAGGCTATCACGGAAAGACGAAAGTACGACATAGTGGAAAGTCCACACAAAAACCTTTGTAGCAATCGACAACAGAGTAGCCAAAGCTGACCCTGATGTAAGGATCAGTAGAAGTCATTGGTCACCACCCGATCCTCATCTAACCAAAGCAAAGCATCGTCAACCATTTGTGGAATTAAATATTAAATAATTCCTGTTCTGGCGCCATACGCAGTATATGCGGAAGTAACAATCGGCCGATTTCATGTATTGTCTTTGATTCCAAGATCCACCGATCGTCATGTCTCCACTAGGGATAAGTAAAATGTCCGACTTTCAACTAATCGACTTCTTGTTTTGAAAAGTCTAATATTCGAAGTCGACTTTTATCTTTTAGGAAATCGAAAAGTCGACTTTTCAAGATTGACTTTTTCTCCATAAAAACCTTGTTTATTATCACAAAGCCCAAATTGCCCAAAAATTACACATTCCGGATTTTTTTAATTCATATAAAAAATTAAATTTTTAGCCAATTTTGCATTAGTCGTTAAAAGTCAAAAATCGATTTTGAACTGGTTTCATAAAATCGAAAAGTCGATTTTTTAGTTAAAGGCAAAAATCAAAAAGTCTAAAAGTCGACTTTTACGCTCGACTATTTGTCCCTAGTCTCCACTAGCTGAATCGATTTAATAATGTGTGTCCGTCCCTCTGTCCATTATAACTTGTAATCAAATTGCAGACCATTTTCTCAGTTCTGGTCAAAGATCGGGAATGGAGTAAAAACATAGTTCAGTTTTCAAGATGTTCTTTGGAGCCAAAACTATGACCACGAAATTTTATACCGAGCAGTTGATCTGGTGAACAAATATGCAAGGAATTTTCATAAACGGTCAATATTTAGCAGGTCAAATAGACTTAGATTTGTATATTATAATTTAAATTTTAATCCTATGGGTAAATGTTTGCTCCTGATTATTTTTTCACTTTTCACTCATTTCACTTCGTGGACATTTCATGGACCTTTGTTCCCCACTTTCATTCAAATGCTTATGCAAATTATATTATGATGGCAACACCGTTCAGTTTAGGGTTTATTTAGAGTACGATGACGTACATTTTTTCGTGTTTGCGTTTCTCTCCACTATAGCTCGCACCGACTGACTGTTGGTCGTTCCGTTCTTTCCCAAATAAAAAGCAAAAAAAAAAAAAAAAAAAACAGAAAACAGTAAATTTAATTGTTAAAGTCATTAGCCAATTTATTAGTTGTTCTTTGTTGTTGTCGTATTCAAATATGAGTAGTAGTAGTTGTAGTATACTCATATATGACCCCACCATTTTGCATTTTCTCTACAATGACTTTATTCTTCACTACTACTTGTGTTCCATGGAGGAAGACTTTAATTATTTGCGAATTCTGTGCATTTCTGTTTTGTGTTGTGTTTTATTGATAAAAATCCCTTTTAATTCTAGTTACACCCACACTCTGACCCCGTCTCTCTTTTTCTCATTGACATCTGTGTTTTTCTCTTTTTCCCCTCTTTTTGTACATTTTTGTGTGTTGTTGTACAACTTCACATCATTTGTGATTAGAAGGTTCTTTTTTATTGTTATTATTATGAGTTATAGTTTTTTTATGACACGTTGCATAAACTCGTTTTTATTCTTTTGGCTGGCTTCTCCGTCTAACTGGGCTGTGTTTGCCTGTCATTCAGAGTTACTGCTACTCAGCTGATTTCTGTGTTGGTTCTTCTTTTTTTTCGTTTAACTATTGATGTTTTATTTTGCCATCTGTCATTCACTCAATGACTGACTGGTTTGTGTGTTGTTCAATACAAATGTGTTGGTGACTCTGAGAGTACAACGACGACGATAACGATGATGATGGGGGCTTTGCTTTTACTAACTCCCCATGTGAAATTGTACTTTCTTTTCTGTTTGCTTCGTCTCTTTGAAGAGTGCACAGCCAGCCCCTATAGTATGCTCTTGTTACTGATTTTGGACATTGTGAACCATTATTTTTTATCTTTTATTATTTACTTATTGATTAGATTTAAAAATTAAATCAATGTTTTCTATAAATCTACCAATTAATGGTGAGATTGTATAATTTTTTCAGTCATGCTCCTTTCCCTTACCTTGGATTTTAAATGTTCGAAAAAGATTAGCAGCCTGTCGGTTAAGAAATATTTGTTGTTGGTTTTTAGTTTGGCATGACCGGAGAACGTTGCATCAATTTCAATGAAAGATGCCATAATGTATTTAACCCATATTTGGTTTGTCCTAGAAAATAATAAGGTGACTCACGTAATGTATCTCAGTCTTTTTTTTTAATGTCGGAACATATGAGGATACAAGGAATAAATAATGGATTTTAATTTTTTACAACTTCCATATGTCTGTGTTGCTACTATTCATATGATATTTAATCATGTTCACTTTTTTGTATAGATTCCATATAATGGAAATGCCCTATTACCGGTATTTTGAAGGGTTTTGATTGTCGTATTTTTCCAACAGAAAGGGTTGAAAGTTGCACAATATCATCAATATAGGTCCATGTTTGAACACAGTCATCATATATAAGTCCCGCTCCATTTTTGATTTTTTGATGTTTTAGCCACATTTTCCAAACGCAGTAACTATAATTTGAAATATCCGTATAATTGATATATGTTCATGTTTGGTCAATATCATCAATTGCATATTTTTATTTTTATGGGTCCATTTTGTGTATTTTCCAAATCGTAGGTGCTTTTCCAACATAATTTGGCATTCCGGTCTTTTAGAGGCTCTAAACAGAAAATAATCAAATTTGAATGTATTCCCCATTTAAAGATCCGGATCATTTTTAGTATTTCGAGTGTTTTCGGTGCATTTTTCAATCGAAGAAACTTAGTTTGGTATTTCTAGTTCTTGGAGGGTGTTATATGACTTTTTAGAAAAAAAGGACCGGTACCAAAAGTACCGGTAATTAGTATTCGGGGTTCTTGGTGGGTCTTAGCCGACTTTACCAAACCGGCTAGCTAAATGTAAGTACCACACAAATCCTCCTGGTTGACAATTCATATATGGGACCCTTATATATAAATTGTCAATCAGGAACTATAATTTTAATGCGCAGGTCATGCTGGAGGGTATAAAAAATCGGTCGAGTTTAACCATTACTTCAAAAGTTAATGAGGTCTGCAAGCTGTAGAAAGCTCTTGGTACAAATATGATCTTCTATTTAAAGAAGGCTCTTGAACCGTACTAGATATGTAAGAGGTGTTCCACATAT